GGGATGCAACTAGGGCACGAGAATTTTTATATGTGCTAGAATCTCAGGGTCTCTTAGCTTCCCTCTATTCCCTATCCCGAGTCCGCATACCTTCCAATCTCCTAGCAATTGATACCACCTGTTGGTATGTGATTTCCATCTCTAGCTCTCAGGCCATACTGAATCCGATACTAGGGTGGAGACCCTCAATAAATCTGCGAACCCGCTCTCAAACAGTAGCAACTAAGGCTGGTGCATGCCTAGCCAACTCGCTAAATCAGACCACATACTCTGACACGGTCATAGAACCCTGGCGCAGCTGCTCAAACTCTGCGCACCATGCATCTCTAAGATTCTGAGGAACATACTCCCATAAGAACATATCTGAAAATTGAGTCCAAGTGAGTGAAGATGCCTCAGCGGGACTATCCAACTCATATGCCCGCCACCACTGGTAGGCTGCTCCTCTAAACTGGAATGCCGTGAAAGAAACCCCACTGGAATCCACAATACCCATAGTACGAAAGGATACTTGGGCCCGTGGCTCTGCAGTATGGGCGGCAGGAGTCTGTGCTCCTCCCCCGGCCTGAGATGTGGCAGGAGCAATTTGAATTAACCCTGCCTGAGCTAGAGTGCCAAACATTCTCAAAACCTGGGCAAGAGTCTCTTGAAGTGAAGGAGTAGTAACAAGTGTCTCAGGTGCATGCTCTCCAACTGGAGCTACTGGTGGCTCTGGTGCAGCAGCTCGTGCAGGTGCTCTGGCTGCACCGCATGATCTTTCTCGGCTTATGCCCCGACCCCGGCCTCTTGCGGCTCCAACAAGGGGCGCAGGTGTCTGATCATCGGATCCAGTTGTGCGTGTCCTCACCATCTGTGAGAGAATAGAAAGATAATGGTTTAGAACTTTGAAGTCAACAGTGCGCACGATAAGGAAACAAAGAAGGGAATATTTTCCTAAGAGTTCCATAGCCTCCCGAAGATAAGTACGGATGTCTCCGTATCGATCCGCAAGACTCTACTAAACTTGCTTATGACTCATAACACTTATGAAGCTAGAGCTCTCATACCAACTTGTCACGACCCCAAATTCCCTCTATAGGAGGTCGTGATGGCACCTAGTCTCTAAGACTAGGTAAGTCTATCAATGCAGAATAATAATAGATATTTGAAATAAATAAACTACAATTCAAATAATTACAACTCCCAAAACCCAGTAGAAATAAGTCACAAATTTTTAAGAATTTATCCTCAATGTCTCTATATATATCAAGGTCTAAATAAAATAAGGAAGCAACATGATAATGATAGAAGGGGACTCCAGAGTATACGGACGCTGGGAGATATACCTCGAAGTCTCCATACACCGGTAACTCACTGATGTCTGGGCTAGTAAGATGTATTTGGATCTGCACAAAAAGATACGCAGAAGCATAGTATGAGTACACAACAGCGATACCCAGTAAGTGTCAAGCCTAACCTCGGTAGAGTAGTGACGAGTTCAGGCCAGGCCCTACTGGAAAAATAAATAATGACATGGTAAAATGTTTAACAATATAATAAAGTAAAATGATAGTGAAAATGAGTCAAGTAGTATGCCACCATTAAATTACACCAAATAATGGCAATTAATATCTCGCGGAAACAAAACAAAATTCTTTTTAACTTTAAGAAAAATCACAACAATAATCAAAGGCAACTACGGCCATAAAACAATATCAGCAAGGGCACTCCCGAGGTACCGCCTCGTAGTCCCAATTCATAAATAAATTCACAATATCTCATTTCCTTATATCACCGCGGGAGCCTTCACAATTTATTTAAAGAAAATATTTTTTTCCGAAATAACATCCCGTGTTTTTAGCCACCCTTATCACACCGCATGACTTCTAGTAGTTTCCCCTATTAGCTATGTGTATCAAGCCACCCTTATCTCACCGCAAGCGTTTCAATACCACCTTATACCATCGCATGCGTATCAATATCACAATATATGACAATTTGTACCTCAAGTGCCCAATATTTTAATTTATCAAAATAAATCAACAACAATATTTTTCCATAATAAAGAGCTCACGGCTCATGCCAAAATAATCCAATAATAATAATTTTTACAATAAAGAGCTCACGGCTCCATCGCAATAAGCACGAAAATCTCTCAAAATATTCGGGAATAAATAACTCAACAAAATAATATTTTAATACGTTACTTTAATACCAAATTTAAAATGTCAAAAATTCATATTAATAATATTTAATTTAAAAAAAATCACCCTTCAAATAATGTACAGAATAAAAGAAACCAAGCTTCAACTAAACAGGTAAAACAATTAGGAGGAAAAGGTCAAGCATATTTAAAGTATAAACATTTAATCAATGATGAAGAATATAGCAAGGTACAATTATTTAATTAATATGCAATAATGATCTACACAATTTAAGGACATAATCTTTCACATTTATCCCGTGTACACACTCGTCACCTCGTGTACATGACTTTCAATACATTTTAATTTATCACTTCAATATCAATCCTAGGGAAAATTTTCCCTACACAAGGTTAGACAAGTCACTTACCTCAACTTGCTCCAATTTAACCAAGTAATATGCCTTTTCCTCGATTTTCCAACTTCGGTCGACTCGAATCTAGTCATAATTAATTCGACATAGTCAACAAAATTATAAAATCAATTCTATAAGAAAATACTATATTTTTCAATAAAAGTCCGAAATTACCTAAAACATTGTCCGTGGGGCCCACGTTTCCGAAATTACGAAATATGAACACCCATTCAACCACGAGTCTAACCATACCAAAATGACTAAATTCCGATAACAATTCGACCGTCAAATCTATCCAAAAGGGTTTTCAAATTTTTCCAACTTAAATCACCAATTAATTATTAAAAACAGTGATAGATTCGAGTAATTTAACCAAGATTGAGTTAAGAATACTTACCCCGATGTTTTCTCCGAAAATCTCCCAAACATCTCCTCAATCCGAGCTCCAAAACGTTAAAAATGGAGTCCCATTTTCAAAACTTAAACTTTCTACCCAGGCTTTTTCTTCTATATGATCGCGGCCAAAGGCATGCGATCGCGAAGAACAAAATAAGGTTACCCATAATTAAGCTTATGCGATCGCGGATAATTCCACGTGATCGCGAAACACAGCATTCCTAGACCTATGCGATCACGAAAGGTTAAGCGCATGGACAAGGTTTTTCCTCGTTTCCTCTTCGCGAACGCGGTCTTAGCCACGCGTTCGCATAGCACAGCTTGTCAAACCTACGCGATCGCGAACTCGCCCACGTGATCGTATAACACAAAATTTCAGCTGCCCAATTAACCCTACGCGATCACATACCTTCTCATGCGATCGCGTAGAAGGAAACCAGAACCTGCAGAAACCAGAACTTCAGCTATCAAGCCAAGTCCAAAAATGATCCGGTAGGCATCCGAAACTCACCCGAGCCTCTCGGGACCTTAATCAAATATACCAACAAGTACTAATACATCATACGAACTTAGTCGAGTCCTCAAATCATATCCAACAATACTAAAAACACGAATCACACATAGATTCAAGCCCAATGAATTTTGAAACTTTCAATTTCTACAAACGACGCAGGAACCTATCAAATCAAGTCCGATTGACCTCAAATTTTGCACGCAAGTCATAAATGACATAAGGAGCTATGAAAATTTTCAGAACTGGATTCCGACCCCGATATCAAAAAGTCAACTCCTCGGTCAAACTTCCAAACTTAAATTCCTATTCTAACCATTCCAAGCCTAATTTAATTACGAACTTCCAAATAAAATTTCGAACACGCTCCTAAGTCCAAAACCACCATACGGAGCTGTTGGAATCATCAAAATTCTGTTCCGATGTCGTTTTCTCAAAATATTGACCTAAGTCAAACTTAGCATTTTAAGGCCAACTTAAGGAACCAAGTGTTTCGATTTCAACCCGAAGACTTCCAAATTCCGAACCAACCATCCTCGCAAGTCATAATTTATAAAAACACATACGGGAAATTTTTATTTAGGGAAATGAGATTTTAAAAGTTAAAACGACCGGTTGGGTCATTACCTTTTCTCTGAAGTTTTGCATATAATAATAATAATAACAAAAAGAGGAGGAGGAGGAGGAGGAGGAAGAAGAAGAAGAGGAAGAAGAAGTACTCTTGCATAATAATTTCTTTACAACTGATTAAATGAGGAACATGGATGTTTCCTTTTCCACATTCTGCCTGAAACAACAAGCCTAAAATTAATATATTTGCTTCTTATAGTACGGAAGAGGGGTTGCTTCTTATAGTAAGGAAATTAATATATTTCTCATCGACAAGAGGGGTTGCTCTGATGGTAAGCAACCTTCACTTCTAACCAAGAGGTTGTGAGTTCGAGTCACCCCAAGAGCAAGGTGGGGAGTTTTTGGAGGGAGGGGTCTATCGGAAACAGCCTCTTCAGACCCCAACTAGTGGGATTATATATTGGGTTGTTGTTATTTTTGTTGCGGCTTCTTACAGTACGGAATAAATTAAATTTATGCACTAATATAATACTGCTGTTGTGTATCTTTCAACGTCAATGTAGGTTTTTTTGAATGAAATATAAGTCACCAGTCATCCCTTTTTCTCTTTATACCTAACTTTGATGTTGAATGCATTTACATTTTTGCCACAAACTTAATTATCCAACACCAAAAGAATTTGAAGAATCGTGTTACATGCGTCAAACGTGAAAAATATTAAATAAAATTCATATAATGTCAGTCACAATTTCCGATATCCGTAATACATATGGTATGGGTATTTTTCCATTTTGCATGATTATTAACCGCTAACTCGTACATACAACATCTTGCATATTGTATGCTTTTACAGATTTTCACACCACTTAATAAAAATACTTAATAGCCTATAATAAGTGTATTTTTCTAAACGTTCCTTTGTATCTCTTTTAAGTATCTCACTTAATTAACACTCTACTAATTGGAACAGATAGAGAGAATCTAGTTAATTGAAAGAAAAATGCATCTTATTCATAATAGTCTTTGCAAACATCCCAAATATACTTGGTACAAAATTTGTATCACAAAATGAATGAGAGGTTACACAACAATAGAATAATATAATGTACATACAAGACTTTTGAATTTAATATTATTCCAAATCAATTAATAAAATACTTAACAATTTTTTCATGCCTAATTTTTACCACCTGTGAAACGTCTGTTACCAATTCTGGAACGAACACTTTGTCTTACAGCAGCAGGGCTCTTGATATTGTTGCAGTCTAAACCTTCTTCATCTTCCTTGCAAATATTAGCAAAAAGACCAATTGGGTATTTTCCATTTAGATTAATGTAATAAAACATACTATCCGCACAGCCATTGTCCACATCATTTATCTCGTTTGTGTGTTTGCATGCTACTATCTTGAATGCATTGCAACATATTGCTGCATTGTATTGAGGTCCTTTGCATTGGCTCGTAAGGGGTTTGTAGTCTTCCTTCTCAAAATTAATGGGACAATTATCCTTGACTAAATATTGTTGAAGAAGGCCACGGCCCTGCACGTGAGACTCAAGCACGTCGTCTGCTCAAACACAAAGGGAATTTAGTTAAACACACAAGTTGGGGTCGGCTGTGTGAATCCTCATTGATTATGTTACTACATTCACTCATTTTCTGGCTAATATTATACAATATAAAAATAAAGGAAATTAGAATTTTTTAAATATATTTTCTACTGACGTAATAAATCTCCAAAAGGCTAAATAACTCTTGAAAAAGCATAAGGTGTAAACCATAGTTCAAAAAACAACTCGACTATATTTCTTTTTAGAATAAGCTCCTAGCAAACAAAATAGAAAGTAACAAAACCCCCAAATATTATTCCATAAGATCTTGAATGTAAAAAAAAAAAGGATTTAATTTAACAGGGAAAAAAATTATTTTTTGTTAGGGCAAGTTGAATAATATCATGAACAATAACATTGATTGAAAGAAATAAAAATGCATGGAGGAATTTAATTACATTTGATGAAGGATGGGGAAGAGGAAACCAAGCCAACAAAGAAGAAGAGAAACAAGAAGAAGCATGATCGTTCAAACCCCATTGTTGCCTCTCTTCTTCTTAATTAATTTGGTTAGAGATTAACTCTTACTAATTTCCTTTTCTTCTCGTAATTGTAATAGTATGTCATTTTGAAATTTACTTTTAATTATAAGGTAGACAAAGGTTTACCATAACAAACGGAAGGCAATGAATGAAGAGAAAATTAAGACGAGAGACTCGGAGAAAGAAAGGCAGAAAATTTCGATGTCTTGACTACTAATCACATTGACTCTGTGCAAGCATGGGCTGCCCATCGGGAGGATATTTACGCTTAACAGTTTGACTTATCTGTTATCGGCTTATAAATATACTAATTCGGTCGTTTTAAACATTTGTATTCTGTTCAGATGCGCTCGAAGTCTTGAGTAGCTTCATATGATGTATTATGATTTGTGTGAATCGTCGATTTTGATTTTCAGGTGATTCGGTATTGATTTGGAAGAATGATTCTCAACTAGGAAGCTTTAAGTTGGAAGAGTTGACCAAGTTAGACTTTTATGTATTTGACCGGAGTTTTGATGATTCGGTTTGGTCCAGATAGAAATTTTGGATTTGGGCGTATGCCCGAATTTGCATTTGGAGATTTTTTCTGAAGGTTTTGGCGCTAATTGACGAAAGTTGGCAATGTGAAAATTTGGAAACACTACTAAAAAACAACAAATTTGCGACCACCAAATCAGTCAAAAATCGGTCGAAAATCATATTTTTCCGGCGGATTTCCGACTGAAAAGTGTCAGTCTGAAAACACGTGATCGCAATATATTTGCGACAGAATTAGCCGAAAATTTGCGACGGATTCAGTCGCAAAGTGAAAAATACATGGACATTTGAATTTAAGCAACTTGCGACCGAATTGGTCGCTAATTTTACGACTGATTTAGTCGATGACCAGAATTAAAAAAATAAATACAAATTAAAAGTTTTGATTGATTCCGTTGGAAAATTAAATAATAAAATTAATTTTTAATTAATTATTCCGACTGAAATAGTGTAATGACCCGATAGGTCATTTATAACTTTAGCCCTTACTTCAGTATTTCAAAACCTTAAATAGCTCCGTTTAACCTTTCTCGATTTACATGCACAGTCAGTGACTTTTTCTGGAAGGTTTTATGTGAAATATTGACTAAAATGTGAAATCGTGCCTTAAAAACTCATCCGAGTTGACTTTGGTCAATGTTTTAAGCAAACAAACCCGGTTCAGTATTTTGAAGGTTCCGTGGGTCCGTATCGTGATTTGACGCTTGGGCGTATGCCCGGAATCGAATTCAGAAGTCCCTAGCATGGCATTATCGTAATTTGTTGAAACTTTGAAGTTTAAAGGTTTAAGGAAATTTCAAGTTTGACCATAGTTTCACTTTATTGCTACCGGGTTTGGATTTAGGTTTCGGAACTTGGTATAACTTCATTACTGTATTTATGACTTGTCTGCAAAATTTGGTGCTAAACGGAGTTGATTTGACGTGATTCGGACGTCCGGTTGAAAAGTTTCATGTTCTTAAGTTTCATTGAAAATTTCCTTCGTTTTGGTGTCCGATTTATAGTTCTAGGTGTTATTTCGATTTTTTGATCGTGTGAGCGAGTTCGTAAGAGATTTTCTGGACTTGTGTGCATTTTTGGTTTGGAACCGCGATGGTCGGGTGAGTTTCAGATAGGCTACGAGTATTATGAACCTAAGGAAAATTTCTGATTTTGGCTTCTGCTGGTTTCTGGTGCGTGCTTCTTCGCGATCGCAAAGATTTGTTCGGACTGGTGATTTTCTTAATCGCGAACGCGGAGCGATGAGGGATTTACCCTTCGCGAACGCGACCAGCTTCTCGCGAACGCGTAGGGCTTGGACCTGGGAAGGGGGATCAGTGTTTTACTCTACGCGAACACGAGCATTGGCTCGCGAACTTGAAGGCCTGGGGGAGCAGCCTTCGCGAACACGTAGGCTATTTGGGCCGCTGTAAATCATGATCGCGGCAGACCTTTCGCGATCGCGGCAGACCTTTCGCGAACGCGAAGAAGGCCTGACGCCGAGACCTTAAAATATTTCAAATACGGGATTTCACCCATTTTCCACCATCTTTTCATTAGAGCTCGGCCTAGAGGCGATTTGGAAGAGAAAGTTCATCATCATTTCATAGGTTAGTATACTTTAACTTATTTTCTTCCATTTCCATTATTACCCATTAATTTCTGGCCTTGATCTTTGTTCTTCCATAGTAGAAAATTAGAGATTTGGAAAGAATTGGGGGATTTTGCAAATTTGAGATTTATACCTCAATTTGGGGTCGGATTTCGGAACTAATTACATAATCAGGTTCGGGGGTGAATGAGTAAAACTTTTTGATCAAGCGGGCTCGGGGTTGACTTTTTGGGAAAAGTGTGAAAATCTCAACTTTATGTACTGTATTTGATTTTCCTAGCATTATTTGATGTTATTAAATCGATTTTGGTTAGATTTGATTGATTTGGAGACGGATTCTAGAGGAAAGGCCCAGATAGAGCTCTGAGTTGATTGCTGAGTGAGGTAAGTATTGGGTTTAACCTTGATTTGAGGCAATTAGGAACCATTGAGCTTTGTGTTATGTGAAATTCATGTGTAACGGCGTACATGTGAGGTGACGAATGCATATACGCCGTCAAATTACTTGTTTCCCTGCTCTCTATTTTTCCGTATTACATTAATTATTTCATTCCATATCTTAACTGTTACATGCTTTAAATGCTTCCCATGCCTTTATTTTCTACTTGTCATTTATTATTCTCATGTTAAAAATATTAGATTCTTTCATGCTTCCATGATTTACCGCTACTTGACTTAATTGACTTACTTGTACCCTTTAGTTGTTATTTATTTGACATGTCTTACTGCCTAGTATTAATTATAGTGAATTCTTAATTTGAGACGAGATTTCCTTTCTGGTTCTGCTTTATATCCGTTAAACGTAAAGAATTCTTGTGATTCGAGTTGTTAAATTGATTGTATTTATTGATTTATTCATGATGGTACGGTGGGATCGGATTGCACGCCGTAATAGGTGAAATAAGGGTGGATTGATATGGCGAAATAAGGGTGAATTTATATTCATACGGTGGGATCGAGTTGCGTGCCGCAACAGGTAAAATAAGAGTGGATTGGCATGGTGAAATAAGGATGAATTATGATATTGATTGTGATTATATAGTGGGATAGGGTTGCCTGCCGCAACATATATTTACTTATTATTATCGATATTTATATGGTGGAATAAGGGAGAATAATATCATGCAGTAGGATCGGGTTGCGCGCCGCAACAGTTTATGTATTTTCTATTCCTTATTGTATTGTGTTGACCTCAGTGCTTTCGTATAAGACTCTAAGGATTGGTATCTCTAGTATTTACTGATTTTCCTTGAGGATTGAGTTATTTTCATGAGTTAACTGCCTTATTTCGCTTTCGTATTTTGCTTTCCTGTCAATATTTTATACTGCGTACAGGTTACTATAAATGACCCGCCTTAGCCTCATCACTACTTCATCGATGTTAGGCTTGACTCTTACAGAGTACATGGGGTCGGTTGTACTCATACTACACTCTGCACTTCTTGTGTAGATTTTGGAGTCGGTCCTAGCATCGGTTCGTAGATTGCTCGGGTTGGCTATCAGTACAGAGACTTGAGGTAAAACTGCTCGGCATTCGCAGCCCTAAAGTCCCCTTCTACCTTATTTTAGTTGTGTATTTTCATTTAGACAACTTTATTTTCATTCAGACCTTTATTTGTACTATTCTAGTAGCTCGTGCACTTGTGACACCAGATTCAGGGATGTATTTACATATTTCAGTTGTTAGGGTTTTTTCCACTTTATTTTAGTTCCATCTTAGTTATTTTAGTAATTGGCATCATTTAAATTTGATTTTCTTAAAACTGGCTAAAAATTTATCTAACGTTGGTTTGCCTGGCAAGTGAAATATTAGGCGCCATCTCGATTCCGAAGGTGAAAATTTTGGGTCATGACAAGTTGATATCAGAGCACTAAGTTACCTAGGTCTCACGAGTCACGAGCAAGCTTAGTAGAGTCTGGAGGATCTGTACGGAGACGGCTGTACTTATCTTATAGAGGCTATGAAGTTTAGGAATAATTTCACTTCTATTCTTCTCTGTCGTGCGATTTTATTCTATCATTGATGATTGAACTCTTCTATTCTTGTTCTCTCGCAGATGGCAAGAACATGTATTGCATCTACAGTTGGACAGCAGCTGGAGCCCCCAGTGGTAGCTCCTACTAAGGGTAGAGGTCGAGGCCGAGGTCGCGCCAAAGGCCGAGGCAAGGGTGGAGCTCTGCCTAGAGCTCGAGTAGCAGCACCAGCAGTGGAGCCTCAGGTAGATTTTTATGAGGAGGTTCCAGCTCAGACTGTACCTATTGGACCAGCTCAGGTCCCGAAGGGGTTCATAGCCACTCCAGTGCTTCAGGACGCTCTAGTCCATTTGGAGGGACTTATGGGGAGTGTGGCCCAGGCCGGTACATTCCCGGTGGCACCAGGCATCTCCCAGCCTGGGAGAGAAGCACAGACTCCTGCTACTCACAACCCGGAGCAGATGGCTCCCCAGTATCAGACTCCAGCAGCCCCGCCAGTTGGGGTAGTTCAGACGGTGGTTGCAGGCACAGGCCGGTGATAGGCCCGCCATGTCTTCTAAGGCTTTATTGAGATTGGACAAGTTTACTAAGCTCTTTTCAGTTCACTTCAGTGGTGCACCTTTTGAGGACCCACATGACTATATTGACCGTTGCTATGAGGTGCTGTGGAACATGGGTATAGTTGAGACCAATAGGGTCGATTTTGTTGTGTTTCAGATGACGGGTTCTGCTAAGAGGTGGTGGAGAGATTTTATGTTGACCAAACCAGCTGGGTAGCCTGCACTTACTTGGGATCAATTCTCGCAGCTATTTCTAGAGAAGTTCATCCCTATCACCCTGAGAGAGGAGTATCGCAGGCAGTTTGAGCGTCTTCAGCAGGGGAGTATGACTGTTACCCAGTACGAGACCTATTTTGTGGACCTAGATCATCATGCCATTATGTTTATTCCTAC